TACTGTTATTGAATTTAAAACAAATAAAAGACCCGGTTTACTTTTCAAACCAAATTTAGAAAGTGGTATGTGGTTGAGCTCATTCGAAACTTGGTGATTCGTCGTCTCTACCAACTTGACTGTCGGATACTTAATAACTCTGTGCACATTTCACCGGAACATCAAACATGGCAAAGCTTTAATGAGTCATGATGGGTCCTCGACGACTATAAAGAAACACGCTTTTGAAATTTGTCCCCTTGTATTTTGTATTTCTCTTCTCTTTACGCGTTTTTTTTGCTTCACTACATAAACCAAAGGAGCTTGCTTTTCCAATACCATTCTAAAAATACTTTCTTCAACTTCAAGCATTTGTGATCTCTTATGGCTTCTTCTTTGTCTTGCATCAAGAGATACCATGTCTTTTCGAGCTTCCATGGTCCAGATGTCCGTAGAGGGTTTCTCAGTCATTTACACAATCTCTTTGCAAGCAAAGGTATCACGACTTTCAATGATGAGAAGATCGATAGAGGCCAGCCGATCGGACCTGAGCTCGTACAAGCTATTAGAGAATCTAGAGTCTCGATTGTGTTGCTCTCGAAGAAGTACGCTTCTTCAAGCTGGTGTTTAGATGAACTGCTTGAAATCATGAAGTGCAAAGAAGATGATGGGCAGATTTTGATGACCATTTTTTACGACGTTGATCCTTCTGATGTTAAAAAACAGAGGGGAGAGTTCGGGAAAGCTTTCGAGAAGACTTGTCAAGGGAAAACTGAGGAATTGAAGCAGAGATGGAGCAAAGCTTTGGCACATGTCGCAACCATTGCTGGGGAACACTCTCTTAATTGGTATTTTTAGTGCTTTTTATCTTTCTCAAGCAATTTTTTTGTCCACCAAATTGAATTTGTTTTGCTTTTGCTAGGCCTAATGAAGCAGAGATGATCCATAAGATTGCTACAGATGTTTTAAACAAACTTAATCTTACACCGTCCAAGGATTTTGACGGGATGGTGGGACATGAAGCTCACTTGGCAAAATTGAACTCTTTGTTATGCTTGGAAAGTGATGAAGTCAAGATGATTGGGATTTGGGGTCCTGCAGGGATTGGTAAGTCCTCCATTGTTAGAGCTTTAAACAACCAACTCTCTAGCAGTTTTCAACTTAAATGTTTTATGGGGAACCTCAAGGGAAGTCTTAAGAGCAGAATGGGTGTTGATGAGCATGATTCCAAGTTGTGGTTGCAAAACCAACTTCTGTCTAAGATTTTGAACCAAGAGAATATGAAGATACATCATTTAGGTGCAATCAAAGAAAGGCTACACGATCAAAGAGTGCTTATCATTCTTGATGATGTGGATGATCTAAAGAAATTAGAGGTTTTGGCTGAAGAACTTTCTTGGTTTGGTTTTGGAAGCCGGATCATCGTTACCACAGAAGATAAGAAGATTTTGGAGGCACATGGGATCAAGGATATCTACCATGTGGATTTTCCATCCGAGGAAGAAGCTCTTGAGATCTTATGTCTCTCTGCTTTCAAACAAAGCTCTGTACCAGATGGCTTTGAAGAGGTTGCCAATAAAGTAGCAGAGCTTTGCGGCAATCTTCCATTAGGCCTTTGTATCGTGGGTTCATCTTTGCGTGGGCAGAGCAAGCAAGAGTGGGAACTTCAATTATCTAGCATCGAAGCTAGTCTTGATCGAGGAATTGAAGACATTTTAAAAGTGGGATTCGATAGATTGTCGAAGAAAAATCAATCTCTATTCCTTCACATTGCATGCGTCTTCAACAATGAAGTCGTTGATGATGTGATATCTGTGCTTTCTGATAGTAACTTGGATGTTGGAAATGGGTTAGAGACCCTAGCCGATAAATCTCTCGTGCATAAATCTACTGATGGCCATATAGTGATGCACCATCTACTACAACAATTGGGTAGACAGATAGTTCATGAACAGTCTGACGAGCCCGGGAAACGTCAATTTTTAACTGAGGCCGATGAGATTTGTGATGTACTGTCAACCGAAACAGTAAGTTGAAGTTCTTACATGTATATTGCCTATTTTTAGTGATAACAATTTCATCAGTCTTCTTTGGCAATGTTATTTTGTAGGGTACTGGATCAGTCATAGGGATATCATTTGATACATCCAATATCGGAGAGGTTTCTGTAGGTAAAGGGGCTTTTGAAGGAATGCGTAATCTCCGATTCCTAACAATCTATAGGAGTTTGCAAATACCAGAAGATTTGGATTATTTACCTCTTCTTAGGTTACTACATTGGAAACATTACCCAAGAAAAAGTCTGCCTTCAAGATTTCAGCCGGAACGCCTCGTGAAACTCCGTATGCGACACAGCAATCTCGAGAAGCTCTGGGGAGGAATCCAGGTTTGGTATTTGATATTGTTTCTAGTGCTTCAATTCAAATAAGAAATGTTTCTCATCTGTTGTGTTTAACATGCAGTCCCTTCCTAATCTCAAGATGATAGATCTGAAGCTATCACGTGAATTGAAAGAAATCCCAAATCTTTCAAAATCTACTAATCTCGAGAAATTGAAACTTGAGTACTGCACAAGTTTGGTGGAGCTTCCCTCTTCTATTAAGAATCTACAAAAACTAAAGATTCTAAATGTTGATTATTGCTCTATGCTAAAAGTTATTCCCACCAACATCAACTTAGCATCTCTTGAGAGACTCGACATGAATGGTTGCTCACGGTTGACAACTTTTCCAGATATCTCCAGTAACATCGAGTTTCTCAATCTCGGAGATACAGATATAGAAGATGTCCCTCCATCAGTTGCTGGATGTTTGTCTCGTCTTGATCACCTCAACATTTGCAGCACAAGCCTCAAGAGATTGACACATGTACCACTCTTTATAACTAAACTAGTTCTTAATGGCAGTGATATAGAGACGATTCCAGATTGCGTCATAGGTCTCACTCGTCTAGAATGGCTTTCTGTCGAAAGCTGCAGAAAACTCGAGTCAATTCCGGGTCTTCCCCGCTCCCTCCGTCTCCTAGAAGCAGACGATTGTGTATCACTCGAGAGAGTATGCTTCTCTTTCCATAACCCAACCAAGAGACTCAGTTTCAGAAACTGTTTTAAACTGGATGAAGAATCAAGAAGAGGAATCATACAAAAATCAATTTACGATTATGTATGCTTACCAGGTAAAAAAATCCCTGCAGAGTTCACTCACAAAGCTACAGGGAGATCCATAACCATCCCTCTGGCTCCGGGTACTGATCTCTCTGCTTCCTCAAGGTTTAAGGCTTGCCTTGTCATTTTCCCAGTTAATGACTACGGATATGAAGGTATAAGCTGTAGTATAAGAAGCAAAGGAGGTGTTAAGGTTCAGAGCTGCAAGCTTCCATATCATGATTTGAGTTTTCGGTTTAAGCATCTGTTTATAGTTCATGGTGACTTGTTTCCCCAACGAAACAATTGCTATGAACTTGATGTGACTATGAGCGAGATTACATTTGAGTTCAACCACAAGTACATCGGTGACAAGATTATAGAGTGTGGTGTACAGATCATGACAGAGGAAGCTGAGGATAGCAGCAGCAGGAAATTGGACAACTAAGCGTGGTGTTTGAGAATTGGTACTGGTTAGAATGTAGATTGCCTTAGCCATATAACCTAAGCGTTAGAAGCTTATGTGGATCAAGCTATCAACGTAGGATTCCTGCAGGTTCTTGTTTACATGAACTTGACGATTAACATTATATTCTTTCTGTTTCAGGTAGGAGATAGGGAATTTCGACAAGACACTGATTCTCCAGAGATCAAGACTAAGTCCACACAAGGAGGCCATACGGTTCAATCAGTTCCAGGTTCTTGGAGCAGTGCCTTCTGTTGTGAGCATAAAAGGCAGAAGGTTGATAGCATTAGAGAGAACAGAAGCATTGCAGCTCACACCTTCCATCTCTTGTGAGGATTTAGATGAATGAAAGTTTTCTTTGCACAAAAAAAAAAGGCCTCAAATTTGTAACAAAATCTTAATTATGTAATAAAACGTTCACAGAAGTTAATACTTAATAGTGTATGAATTCACGATCGTACAAAAATATGTTGTAGCACACTGGTTAAACTCTAAAAATGGCTAAAATTCTGGTTTTAAAGCCCCACAGTAAAAAAAATTGGCCGATATGGCTATATGGCATCGTTGCCAATTGATGGCGATCATGCATTGCAGCTCCAACACTAGAGAAAGCGGGTTCATAATGGATTGTAGCGGTGAGCAAGACGAGACCAGTTTCTCTGATTTGATTACAAGTTTATCGTTTTAGGCTTTGAGTTTTTCTTTACTGTGGTATTTTCAAATCAGTGAGCCAACAAAAGAAGAGTCAAGTGTGTAAGAACATCAACTAATGTTTCTTCATTGAAGTTTTATTTGGGACCTTCGATCTATTGCCCTAACTTTCACAATGAAGCTCAAACGACAACCCCCAAACAAAATTAAGTTTCACATTGCCTAACCACAGAGTATCAACATTGCCCTTTGAACAAAATCAGCCATTTGATTATTCAGTTAGCCTAAACAGTTATCAAACATAACCTAGCACATCCAATTTGAGTTCCATTTGATTGATTTACTCACAGCTTAAGATGCTCAACAACTAAACAAAAGCATCTGAGAGGAGCAATAAAAAGACTTGCGAAATGATGAAACAAGCAAATAAGCATGAGAATTAACAGCTTAAACATGAAGAAGTTCAAACGTGGATCCAAACAAAGTCTAGCAAAGAACCAGACTTAACATAACATAAAAAGTTGTTCTACCAAACTCACATAATTCTCCACTGAAGAGAATTCATAAACACAATAAAAAAAAAACTAGAGGAATGTATCATCAGAGTAGTAATTTAAAAACTCGTTTACGAGAGACATAAACAGAGATTAAGGAGAGTTTTGCATAATTCTACTTAGCAATCTGAGCTTGGTGCTCCTGCTGATAGTTAAGAGGCCTCCGAAAGAGCATGATATGTGGCTCAGGACGATGAATCGCGTAATGAACCCATCCACGGCTTTGTTGCACTCCTATAGCTCTCCATTCACTCTACAGAACCAGATTGTAAAACAATACAACTGTTAGAATCAAAATCAGGAAATTGAGAATTGACTGATACACACAAAAGAATGCGTTACAATTACACAACTAAAAGTTTATGATCTCAATTAAGCAATCTTGTAAGGAAAAACATGATCCAGACTCTCACAAGAGACTATAAAAATAACCTACAAATCACTGATTTTTCAGATGAAAATGTGAAGATTCAAAAGGCATGATAAGATCTCTTGGATTCTCCAATGTCCAAACTTCAATCTCCTAAAATTACTTTCCTATACATGTAAATCTCATAGCCTTCGATGATTCAATGATTAGATCGCAATCACAACAACAGTACACGAATGAATTAGAGGAAAAACCCTAATTTAACTTACTTCGGAGAGAATGCGATTCTTCGGTAAAAGCTTAGCAACTTCCGGAGGAAGTACGACGTGCCTAAGAGAGAAAAAAAAAAGACCAACGCGATTAGAGAATCATAAACTGAAACTCAATTGGGAGAGATGAATCAAACTGAGAATCACCTGTATTCAAAAGTATCATCGAAATATTTGTCTGAGTACTGGATCTGACCCATCTTCTTATATCACCCAGAAAACGTCTGTCAAACTTACAAAAAAAAAGAGAGTAATCCATCAGTAATCTAAACCTAAACACCGAAGAGAAAGTAAAGAAGTCAGAAATCGAACCCTAATCGAAGAATCGGGAAGAGAAGCAAAACCTTGAGAAGAAGAAGAAGTGCGATCGGAAACGAAAAATGGATTTTGGGGACGGAGAAGAGGGAAAGTTAAAGGGAATTAAAAAAGGAATTGTGGGGTAGAGTTGTAATTATGTAGATTTTTAGGGGCATTTCCTCAACGGTTGTTTTGATTTTTTGAGTTTGAAATTTCTTAGAGGCGCTCCTTCCCGCTTAGTGGTGCCCTAAATTTTGATTACGGTTCGACGTTAACCAAACCGGTACAATTTCCCGGTTTAGCAGATCAATTCTACTTATCGAGAAAATTAAATGATTTTTTAACTGGACCTGTGGGCCTACATATAGAGCCCAATTCAATGGTTATTATTTTCAGTTTTAGTTAGAGCATGGGCAGTGGTGCAAGCAGGTGGGTGTGAGTCTTGGGATGTAGGTATTAAAAAAACGAAAAAATTGTCTCTCTCTTCACACCCGGGTGTAAGTTTACACTCGGGTGTAACACTTTTTCTCTCTATCTCTCTCTTTCTTTCTCTTTCTCTTTTCTCTTTTGCTTTAAATTATAATACTAAAAAAAATACTTACACCCACACAAACACATTTGCCACTGCTGATGGTCTTATAACTTGGAAATAGATTTCAGAAAATTAAATTTCATTTCTGGGCACTATAATACAAAAAATTAGCTTCATATAAATAAATTGAACCACCAAAAGAATGCCCCATGTTTAGACTCATTTACTTCCATCTCTCTACTCTTCTCTACCAAAACCAAATTCTCTACCCTTTTGTGTATTTTCCTCTCTCTTTCCATTATAAAGAGAGACACATTTAGGGGAAAAACCTGTACACGAACGTTGCTACTACCCGAAATTAGATTAAAAAAGAGCATCCAATCGTTTCATCGACTAACCAAAAAATAAAGACAACCTTGAGCTTACTCCTCCTTACTGCCCTCGGTTTTACTTGGGGCACTCGGTGCAGGCACGCTCTTTCTCAACATAGATGTTCCATGAAAGATCATCACTGAGTAGTCTTTTCTGTATTCTTTCACCTAATAACACCAACAAACACTGTGTATCAGAGATGTGATTCATTGGGAGTGTATATAAGTTTATTGACTAGCTTTTCTAGATGTATACCTCCTCGTCGGTCATCTTGGTGAAACCAAATTTGTCAGTCCATATGGATTTGGCTTCATCTGCTGCTGGCAGCACGATATGTTTTACGTTTAGGAACCCAAGTAGCCTCTCGATGCAAGCAAACAGGCATTGGAAGTAACCCTACAGCAAAAAGAAAAAGAAATCAGATTTATATTGCGTGGGATGGCTGGTAAAATATGGCACAAGAATTCCTTCTGCAATTTCTATGCTACACATTGTTCCACTCTTAAGCTATTCGAAACAAAAAACAGAGACAAAAACATGTGTGCGTAGATGTATCACTCTATTATTAGCAGTGTATGGGCTTGACAGTAAGAGCTAGTAGTTTATTGACCATTCTATAGGAGTAAGCACCTCTTGTAAAGAAAAAAAAAATGTAAGGTTCCAAATATAAAAAAATGTAAGGTTCCAATTACCTGCCCTTGACAATCTTTGCTGGTAGCAACCAGAGGGAGTTCTGCAAGTTCGGACCCGAAAACCCTAAAGATTCCCACTGAAACGATCACTTCACTGCACAAGCAAAAGAAAAAAAAGACAACATAAAAAGGATGAAACAAGCGTCACAGAGAATAAATTAGAGTGAAAAGAAGAAGACTCATACTCCACAGCCAACATGGTGCAGTACATGCCACTAAAATCTTGGCCCTTTGCTTGCCTTCTGTTCCACACACAAAAATGTTCATCAGCTAATAGGTTTCATGAGCATAAAGAATAATCCACTCGACTTACTGAAGATACTACAAAATTGCTTACCCGTACACCATGGCAGGTATCAAATCTCCCCTGGTCCCAGTTTCACTGATAGGATCAAACCGCTCCTATAGCATACCATGGTTACAAGGGACAAACAAAGTTAGGCCTTCATAAAGAACAGAAGCGTTTGAAATATGGTCTTGACTTACATGAAGAATGGAAACTGCCTTTGCAAGCAATATTTTTGTTTCATCCGAAGAGGTCAACTTCCCACTAAGGACCCTCCATCTTATGTCGGGAGTGGTGTTGTCATCTGGACAGCTTTCTTCATCAGGTTTTTCCTTCTTCCTTATTAAATTCAGAATGTTGTTACTAAGCTTCTCTTCTCCGCGAACTATCAGATTGCCCAATGTAGTGTTGATCTTTTCACAGTCGTCGGAACAGAACCATTTTTCTTCAGGTAGCTCCTGTTAAGACATAAACAAGAATGAGATAGATAGATACTGAGTTTTCACCCGAGAGAATGAAAGAGCAAAATAGGTAGATCACCTTGAGATCAGCAATGTTATGTTCTTTCAAACAGCCAACATGGAATTCCTTTTCACACTGAGGAGAAAACAACAAAACCAAACATGGTGAAAACCAGAAGCAGATTTAAGAGGCACGGATCCCTATACAGCAATGACCAACAAAGTACCTGATCACAGATAATCACAGTGCGAGAATTAAAGCCCAACCTGCAAAAACTATGACCTCTGCAACAGCAAAGAAAATTAAGCAAAGGTCAGGCTCATAAGGAAATGGTTTCAATTAGCCAATGTATACACATCTTCTCAACCAAACATTTTCAAGTTCCTTTAGTTAGAAAAGAAAACATTAAAGTTATATGGATTAGAAACATGAAAAAAAAAAATAGAACAAAATTTAGCCAAATAAGAACTCATTAAACTACAACGACCAATAAAATTAGGTAATGCATCAATGAGACACTATAAAGGAAACCACCAAGATACTTGAAATAATAGAAAAGCTTGATATTCACCTGCATAACACGCATACACTTGGGAGCTCGGTCCCAAAGGAGCTGACAACTCGAATACATCTATTGGTTATCTCAGCAATTGCATCAACTCCCTGAACTCTCCCAGCTGCAATGGCGTTGAGATTGCTATCCACGAACTTCTCTCTCTCAACCATATTTACACAATATTTGCAGGACCACCTCTCACTCGGAAGGCTTGATAGAGAAGCACATACTAGATAAAACCAAAACAGACAGATAAGCTCTATCAAAGGTGCGCTCCAAAAACTTTTTCAAAGTAGCAATACAAGAATTCTAACAAACAAACATGGATAATTGCAAATACCAAACCTTTATGATATGATCTTGGACAGGTATCACAACACAAGAGCTCACCCCCATCCCTACAGATACTGCAAAGGTCATCATTTTCATGGATGGAAAACCTCTGGTCCATTGATAGTGCTACTGATAGCTCATGAAGAGAAACCCCATTGGTTGTATAAATGTGCTGAAACCTGATAATCAACAGAAGATGAATGAGTTGTTTCAACAGTTTCTCTGTGAATCGTACAATCAATGATCTTAAGGATCCACGACTTTTACACTAATTATCCAAGTTTTATGTTTACTTTTTGTAACCATGGGTAAAAATGTTTATGTTTACTCTTTGACAATACATGGCCGAGCGAAGAAATAATGGTTCTGGTTATCAGGTTTCCCAGGAGAATGTGAGTAGCTTCATTATAATCCTCAATCTCTTGTATTTCAGCAAACTATTTTATTACGTTACAGTTTAATTATATCAGAACCGGGTAAAAAAAAAGAAAAAAAGTAGTAGAACAGGTACAGACCCATTACTACTAGAGCGTATATATGGAAACAGTTGCAAGGAACTTACGGCTTCCGACGACTTGCACAGCCAGCATGGGCCTCAAACGAAGAAGGACTGACCTGGTCCAATAAACAGTATAAAGGCTGATTCAGACCCCCTATAATGCCAGTAAAACTAATTGACATTAAAGAAAGCTTACCACTTTGTTGCAACAAGAACAATGTATCCCAAATCCCTTCTTATAGCCGACAAGCATTTTCTGCACAAGGAACAAAATGGTTGGAGAAGAAAAAGTTGCAAAAAAGGGCGGGAGAAAAGCCAATTTTCATGCAGATCTAACCTCTCCAGCAACAAAATAACCCACTTCAGTCCCATCTGGCAGTATATCATCCTCAAAAACAAGTTTATGCAGCCGCACATCCCTTTCAAAATGACAAAAGATAGACTGAGAACTAATATAAGTTTGACAGACGGCAAGGAAGGCGACAATCTAGCAGACTAGCACTAGACCATATATACATCGGATAAGTGCTGTCACACTTATAACAACACTACTCACTTTCTGGTTAGTTTCCCTTGGCTGTTGCTTTTGATTGAGCTGGATTTTGACTCGCTCAGAATAGTTCCTGGAACCACACCTGGCTCAGTGGACCTGTAGAACCCCAAGATAAGTTTAGCTTAGCCAATAAGCCCAATGTATAAGTAATGAATATATGCCACATTTCCAATATTATATTCTCATTTACTCATTTTCCAGAATGATGAACGGCAGATTGTGAACTAATTATAATATAAAAAGGCAGCAAAAACACAAAACTAGAAAGCACAACCATCAAACAGTTGGCACCATCAATATAACAACAATACTCACTTTCTGGTTGGTTGTTCTCGCCTGTTACTTTGGCGAGGACTGGATTTTGACCTACTAAGGATAGATTTTGGATCCACACTTGGCCTAGACGAACTGTTGAAAATTGGGAACAGATTTAGAATCAATCAATTAGATAAAGGTCAACATATTTCGTGGTGTATTAGATATATCCAAAAATAAAGTCATGCATGTTAGTACTTGCAGAATTCTACATAAGCAACCATATAATAGAGGAACATACAGCTCGTAATCCACATTACATAATTAGAAAATCATTTTCCAGGATAAGATCGGCGGCTTTTTCGTTTTACCTTCCACCCAGTCTGAAAAACTAACTGAACAGGATAATTGTATGCTCATCTTACTTTCACATGATTCAACTGCAAAGAAAAGGTTGTAGCGATAAATAAAGACAGATGAGCCATACCTGTTAAGAGCACCATTTCCTTTAGAAGGACTGTTATGGAATTCTGGCTCCTTACTCTCCAAACACGATTTGCACACAACTAATGATTTTGTATCACAATGTTCAATCATTGGACCTGCAATCAATTGGATGTAACCAGTCTGAATTCTTTATAAAGAGGAAAAAAAAACAAGTGAAAACAGTCTGTATAATGTTGCACAAACCAATGAACCAATCAGTAACCTTGGCAATTCAAACACAGGCTAGATTTCTTTAAATTTGTTCCAACTACCACACGAAGTTTTTCTTCTAGTGTAGCTAAGGGAGTTTCCTTGCATGCATTCATGACATCACGAAGTGTGAATCCAGACTCCAGTAAGATATATTCAGGAGGCCGCTTGTTTGCGCTAGAAGCATGCACCTCGTACATGGCAGTGCTCACCACCTGTGAAATGAAATTTAAAAAGTTACCTCAACCAGCAAGCATTTGGCAGGACCAATTACAAGACTTTTAAGAACAATAGAGATCACTAACTTGTATTCCTTTGCAGGCACAACAAAAGCACAAAACGCCTGATCCCTTTATCACTCCTTTAAGCCCTCTAGTCCCCGCCTCTCTCACCTACAAGAAGATGGTGACATACGTATCAGCTAAATAAAATTTGTTTTTACATGAATAGAATAAGAAGTCATCATATACCTTCGCTCCTCGAAGATAGTACACAGTTAGTCCCTCAAGTATTCCACAATTAAAAATTTCTTTCAGCTTTGCTGGGAAATTCCTTAGAAATTTCTTGGGCCTACCACGCCTGCTGTGAGTAGTAACTGAAGGACTTTGAAAATCATCCATTTCAACATCATTGGCATGCATATCTACCTCGCCCAAGTCTGCTGGTTCAGTATTATTTCCCAAATTAGGATTGTCTGAATCACTTTCTTGTTTGACCAATGACCTAGTAAACCTCCTCAACGGCTTAGCTACTGTATCATTCACTGCCTTCTTATCAACACGTTGAGAAAGACCACTCATCTGGAATGATTTACTTGGAAGCCCAAGGCATAGAGAATGACCACTCATCTGGGATGATCTACTTGGAAGCCCGAGGCATATCTCCACATTATTTTGCTCATGAAGCTCCTCCTCCATCTCACATGCCACTGAACTAGAAACACCAACACAATTATCTTCACTATCTACAGCATCCTTTTCTGGATTTACATGATCTTCATCAACATTAACCTCAGACTTAATACCCTCAACCTTCAACATCGACCTTGTCAACCTTTTACAGGGTTTCGCATAAACCAAACCTCTTTCCAACTTAACCTTACAAGACCTAGAAGCCATTTTCTCCAACACACTAAGACCTGCAGGACATGCAACAACTATCTCTCTGTCAATCACACTATCTCCCCCAATCGAACATACCTTCTCAGCCTCCGTAACTTCCGGTGAACCCTTCTCAGGTTGCTCATTCATCACCACATTACCATCCCCATTCCCAATCTCCACATTCTCTTCTTGTCCCTCGTCCTTAACAAAACCCTTTGTCTCTTCAACATCAACAACATCACTCTTACCTTCTTCTTCTTCCAAACCATCACCAACAGTATCAGACATTACAACTTCCTCATCTTTACTAAAACGCATCTTCTTAATCCCACTTTTCAAACCAGACCCACGAATCGATTTCTTAACCTCCACACTTCTAGACTCACCATTCAAGTTTCTGCTTCCCCGAGTCCGACCTAATGACTCACCACCACAGATCTCAGACTGAGATTTCAAAACAAATTGCAACTCTCTTTTACACCCAGTACGAACCACAAATTCGCCAGTCGCCGTACCTTTCGCCATCGATTTAAACAAAAACTTGTAAAATACCTTCACTTCCTGTAAATGTCGAATCTCAAGAAAAACCTAGAAAACGCATCGATGTAGTTATGGATTCATATCCATGTACGAGTGCGATTATTCAATTTCTAGGGTTTCGCTTATCCTAAACAAAGAAGAAGAAGAAGGAGAAGAGATTAGGGTTTCGTAGTTATCACCAGAAGAGAAGGGAGAGGAGATAAAGATGTTGAGAAAAAAGCTGTTTTGATTTTCTGGCAAAAGAGAAATTATAGATCTTCTGAAGAAGACTTATTTTTCTTTTATTTTTTGAAATTTTTATCTGATCTTTTGTATTTTTTTCGAAACTTTTCTCTAATATCATAGTTTTGAGTTATTTCTTCGATGCATCTTTACTTTTATTGTTTTATGATTTAACCCTATAGAAGTATATTGTGTAGTTTGGAACCCTTTTTCTTGCGATGAAACTGTTTATAGGATTTGAATGTGTCTTGTCAAAAATATGGGATGTTTTTTTTTTGTTCTGTCTTAATTTTCAATGCATAGCTTTGTAGAAATTTAAAAATACGGTGGCAAAATTAAATGTTTTTTTTTTCTTTCCACAATAACTATGAAGATTGAAGGATGTATTGTTTTTTTTGTTGGGTTTTAATTTTCAATATATAGATTTTGAGATGTATTGTGTAGAATTGGTCGGTTGATATTTTAGTGATTGACCGTCGTTTCCAATTTTTTTTTATGAATTCACTTTTCTCATGGATATGTTTCGTAATCTTTTGATTTTATTTTTTTTTTATTTTTTTTTTGGTAATTTGAATTATATAGTAGTTTGTTTATCTTGTTCTTGAAAAATTAGATTTGTTGAATGTTATTTTGTATATTTTGTTCATTCGGTTTGGATTTCATTTGATTTAGGTTTCAAATACTGAAGTTACTTTTATGTAAGTGTGTAGTTAACAAAAAAAATGTTACAGAATTATTTTGATAATATTTTATTTATAATACAAACAAAAGTTTATATAATTTTTAGTTGCATGCCGGTGATTTTGATAAAAGTTATTATCAAAATAGATTCAGAATTCATGCCAAATCCAACTTTTTCAAACATTTACCACCCATGTTAAAGAAGAATTGATACATCGTAATATCATGGCATGACATATAAGTCGTCTCCGTGTAGGTGTCTTTGTTCCAAATAAGTTACATACCGGTATTTTTGCATATCTCGGTATTTGTCAATAGCTAGTATTTACACAAATATTTTTAAGAACTAAAGATAAGAGTTCAATCTAACTTTCATAAATCGAAACAAAGTTTTCCAATTCAAATCGCAAAACGAAAGATTTTAGAGTCATGATTTTGTATTAAACACAAAATTATTAAATCGTAAATGATTGTTGCAGAGAAATAGTGGAATTACGCGTTGGTACAAAAACCACACGAGAACCATAATTTGACGAAAAAAATCACATAATCATATGATAGCTTTATAATACAAGAACATGTAGAAGCATGATGGTTAAAGAAAAAAAAGTTTTCACCATCACGAGGAATAAATACAGTGAATAAAGAAGAGGGAGAGAAGTTACCTCGACAGTTGCGTAGACATGGATGAAAATAGAGACGTAGGGTGGCGTATTAAAGGTATCATCATTGATGCGGTTTTCGAGATCGTAGAAGATCTTTCGTTCAAGTAAGTGAATCTGCTAGCGCGTCATCCTAGTCGTCCACGTCGTTTGTCAAACACCCATCTGATCAATGTATCAGATCGAATATTTCGTAAACAAGATCTCAGCCATCCATTCACATATCTATGCGACCAGTCAAATCGCTTTGATCTGATCCAAATCTCGTAGCTCCAAGACAATATTTTCGCAATCATACATAACCTAGATATCCGCACATCGAGGTCGCCAACTCACTCGATGGGTTGGGGAGCAACTGTTCGAGCTGGGCAGGTGAACGTCTTTAGAAATGTATGGGCGTTACGAGAGCTTGGTGTGCCTCAGAAGATGTTGTTCTCCATGCTTACTGCGAAGGATAACAAACTTGTATCGGAAAAAATAAGATTCAAGGAAACTATCAAGAAAGTTCTTGATAAGGATTTTGATCCCACAAAGCCCAAGTTTGTGGAGGCTGGATTCAACACCTCTGAATCCACCAACGAAAATAACAAGTGGGCCTTCAGAGCTATGTTAGGTCCATCATCCCATAGTGAAAAGAAGCAGAGCTGGCTACAAATCAGGATTAAGTCAAGGTAGAAACCTGAAATCTAAGAGAGGTTAGCGCTGACCTCGTACCGAATTACCTTGGAAGAACATCTATATAAAGACGAGAGAATACCTAGAGAAGGCATCGAATACTTACCTAAAAATCACTACTACTTTCGCAATTGTTTTCACAAGATTTTCACAAGATTTACTCTGTAATCGCTCTATAAAGCATCAATAAAATCCATTCATTCTTAGCAATTCAATTCTCAAAGTTTCATTGAAGATCTAGTCCTCTTTGCTCATAAAATCTAAATTGTACAAATCTCGAGTGTGGATTCTATCACCCACATCATGTGTTTGTTAGTTTTGGTTTATCGTAACTTTGAAGTAATGTAATGGTCATCATATATGTAGTGGTCTTAGTTTATATGTTATTCAATATTTTGATGACATTTTATTTATAATACTAACAAGCGTTTATATAATCTTTAGCTGCATGCCAGTGAGTTTGAAAAAAAGATATTATCAAAATAGATTCAGAGTTCATGCCAGATCCAACTTCTCCAAACCCTTATGAGTAAACTAAAGAAAAGTTTATCCATTGTAATATCGTGCCATGGCATTTGAGCCGTCTCCGTCTAGGTGTCTCTATCACATATAAGTTAGATACCGGTAATTTTGCATATTTTGGTATTTGTCAATAGCTATGCGCCTACACAAATGTTTTTTTTAATCTAAAGATAAGAATTCAATCTAAGACTATGTGCAATGCTAAATTTATTCAACACCCTCCTTTTTCACTTTTTAACATTCCACATCATCTTCTCTCTTCCACCTAATAATTCAACATCTATTTAATTTTTAACATTTCCAATGGTTTGTTGAATAAATAGAATTATAGTAAAATAAACTTTGATTTTTCTATTCCAAATCAAATGAAACAATTACCTATTTATAGAGATTTTTTTGATGAATTTTGATATAAAAATATAAATAAATAAATTAGGTTAGTATATAATAATTGATGTTAAATAGTTAGGGTGAGATTGAAAATTTCAATATCCAATCAAAAAAGAACATGTGTCATTTGTGGTCCCATATTTTTTGTTTCAACATGTTGAATATTTTCAACGGAATTGAATCCACGTAAGTTTTTTTTTCATTTTCAACACCTTCATTACAAGGATTCAACTGTTGAATTATTTATTCAACAACTCCATTGCACATAGTCTAAGTCCCATAAATCGAAACAAAGTTTTCTATTTAAAACCGCAAAACCAAAGATTTTAGAGTCTTGATCCTCTATATATTAACAAATAGTCATTTTTGCTTATTTGTCAAGTCCACATTTTTTCCCACCTATTTTATTTTTCATTCTAATATATTTATTGTCAAACACATTTATTTCCAAGTATTAATTTAAACCTATTTTGATTATTCTAATTCAAATTGTCAAACACATTTACATATTCTAAACTTACTAAAAACAATAATTTTTAAAATTCTAATATTAAATTTTGTCATTAGATCTGAATAAAAAATATTCTAAATTTAGATGAAAAATTTACGAATATATGTGCATAGCATGAGTGATTACCTAGCTTTGTATTAAATGCGATTAAATCGTAAATGATTATTCCATAGAAATAAGTGAATTACGCATTGGTATAAAAACTACAACAAACCCAAATTTGACGAAAAAAAATCACGTATGATAGTTATATAGTAGAGAAGATCTGTTGTTAAAATTATGTTATCACCTTTTGATGCTAAAATCTAATACTAAGTTTGTGAAATTCATAATTAAGTATGCAAAGCCGGTAAAAGTACTTTAACCAATGTTCAAGAAAGCACTAGACACTAAGTGAGAAATGACCCAACGTCTAGCCTCTAGAAAGTTTAATTGGGGCCTAAGCAATTTTTGGCCGTTTAAAAATTTACAACACAAGTTATTATAAATATGATGTTAATTATAAATAAAATTTTATGTAAATATCTATTAGACTGTGAACAAAAATTAGACAAAAAGAATTATTAAATTCATATAAAACAATGTATGGATGTTTATACCAAGTATATATATAGAGGTAAGAATTATAATTTAAATATTTATAGCTAGAAATTGGAAAAATATATATTTAAAAAAACATGTAATTTAGGCGGTCGAAGCGGTTGTCTAGGCGTCACCTCAACGCCTAGACGACCGCCTAAACAGCTTTTTAGAAAACTGGTCTTAACCAAGTTAAAAAAATAAATTAAAAAAATCGGCAATAGTAGTAATACAGTAAAACCTCTATAAAATAATAATGTCGGGATCGTAAAATTTTATTAATTTATAGAGAGATTTGACCAACTTTCACAATATTGTTTTAGAAATTCTTTTGATAATAAGTTTTTCGTTATAATTAATATTCCTCTAGGTTCAGTTACAAGTAAAAAACAATTATCTTGCTTAGAAGACTAGACAAAAAAAGTTTTCTATACAGTAAAAATATTAGAAATGAACTCTAACAAGAACTAATGCAAACAAGTTTTGAAAATCAATACTAGAGTTATATTTTATTAAATTTTCTTATATATACTAGGACTCGGGACTCCCGCGATGTCGCGGGGGAATATATTTCAAAAATTATTTAAAAAAATATCAAACAAAAAAATCATAATGAATTGTAATAATTTTGAATTTTTTTAATAACAAATTAATATATATTTTACAAAAATTATGATAAAGAAAACCCTCACAAGCATTTATTAAGTATATTAATATTAGAAAAACAATAATTTTTAACTAAAAAACTATTCCCAAGTGTAAAAAGCGTAAAGTAATAAACCAAATATTACAATGGTTTGATAAATAAGCCAAAACGTTCAACGTCAAATAAACCAAATGCTATTGTGTTAAATTAAACGGTATCAACAATTCATTTAAATATATTTTAGTATTTAAATATTTTTAAAAAATATGACGAACTTATCCGAGAAACGCAACCGTAGATATCAAATATTCCAAAAAGTGCAACGGTTCGTCAATTATACCAAATGTTGCAATAGTTCATCAAATATGCTAAAGATAACAATGGTTCGTAACACAAAACCAAAAGTTGCAATAATTCGTCAAATTATCCAAATGTTGAAACAGTTCAATTAAATAGTTACAATCTCATTTAAATACATTTTAGTAATTAAAAATTAAGAATTAAAATAATAATTTATGAAAAGTTACACCGAGAGACGCGGCGGTAGATAATTAAATGTTATAGCTATTTATAAAATAAACCAAAAATTACAATTGTTCGTGAAATAAACTAAATATATAAACCAAAGGTTACAATTGTTCGTAAAATAAACTAAATATTGCAATGATTCAAATAAGCGGTTTCAACTGTTTATGAAGAGTTACAATAAAAAACGCAACCGTAGAAAACATTCAGAATGCAATTTATAAAAAAAAACATAACCGTAAAATATATATAACTATTAATTTATGATATTGATGAGACTATATATATGTTTACATAAAATTTTTTAAAAAAAATTTGACCTTATTATTTTATCAAATTGTGTTATTTTTTACATTGGTTCAACTCCGAAGCGGAGGAAATTTTTAATTTAAATAAATTTTGAATTTATCAAGTATAATGTATATATGCTATGTAAAATTTTCAATACATATATCTTCATGAATTGTATTGACGTATAATATGAAATGCTCTGGTTATCACGATTAGTTAATTGAACACTGAATAATGGTTTGATTTTATCGACATCATTATATTATAAAGGAAAATAACTAAAAGGTTTTATAATTTATCGCCCTAAGTTGAGAGTAACCATTTCAGACAACTGTTTTTAATTCCTCTCCGTTCGCTATGCAAAAGACATAAAGGTGTAACAAAAGCAGACGAGTTTCAACCCACAAAGTCATGAAACATTTGGCTTCCAGTTCCAAACTGATGATCCTGTGTCTGGATTACATTGTCCACACCACGCCTAAGCTCTAACGTGAGTGACACGTTCCCTCTATTGAACCCCATCATGTCCATGTACTCTAATCTCGACCGTTTAGTCCCGGAGAGGTCCGTTAACGTTTGTTCATGGCTCGGAGTACTACTAACAGTATTCGGCCTATTTGAGGGCTCCATGTTGTGACTAGTCTCTGGATTTTTAATGGCTTTGGTCTCAAGTGTGTGTATTTCTTCCACCATTGGTTTCCATAATCGCACACGGGCATTTATGAACCAATTTGATACCTTTGAAAAAAAAATACAGAAACACGAAACCAAGTCAACAAATCTTGTCAAAAACCAAACCTAAAATCAGGCAAAGTCTACTAATTAAGAATTTTCATTTGTAGATAATGACTAATGAGCCTCGCTTTGTCCTGACATGGTTTATTGTAGAAATGTTTGCAAATAGTTAATCTTCTATTCACACGTTGAACAATTTCAGTTTTTACACATGAACTTGTCTTCTATTAATCTAGACTACGTCTATATGACTATATATGCGTTACTTTTACATGTAAGATTGATGTTATTTGAGAGTAAAAATTTCTAAAAACATTAGGTTATTGTCCCATCAACATGCTTTAAACCAATAGAAAAAAATAGGACCGGCCAAGAGCAATAATTCAAGAGACAAGCATATTTAAAAGTTCACCAAACAAAGAATTACATAATTGAGTTACCTGGTTACGAGAGAGACCGGTTTGAGTGGCTAGCATCTGCTTATCAGAATCAGTGGGGTACCTAATAACAGTATTAGCAATAAAGGATATGAGAAATCATCTCAAAACATCAAATCAAATAAAATCAAATCACATCAAAACATTATGAGACTTAACGGATGAAGAAAATGGTCAAAGAGCCATGCTCGGAGAACAGCCACCGCGGGTTCGGGCAACCCCCTTTGAGGCCTCCACATATGTTGTTGTTGAGATTCAAACCCGACATTGTTACCAATCAAAGATCTTTGTTTCTTTTGGAATACGTTGTTGTCACCGCTTGATGAGTGACTTGAGATTTGCTTTACATGTTCAGATATTGCGGTTCTAAGGGCCTTAAAACTTCTCGAAGTCCGTTTGAGCGCCAACGAGATATACGGTGTTGCGGTTCTTAGACCAGCCACTGTATTGAAGGAAGACATAACTGTTTGCAACTGATGATTGTATAATTTGTACCACTTGCAAACCTTTTCAATGTCACAAGTTATAACATGTTAGTTTTGTAACGAATGTCTACAAACATAAACATTATAAACATAACTGTATAAGAATATAGTTTCACAAACCTCTTCTTGTAGAAAGAGAAGTTTTGCCCTCTTTAGTCTATTCTTGGGCTCTACTGGCTCATAAGAACTACTAAACACTGACGAGTTATCATCATCATCATCATCATCATCCATGGAAGTAGATTCGCTTCTACTAATAATCCTTGAAGCATAAGAGATACAGAACTCTTCTAACATTTTTTGAGCCGGCTCTAAGAACCTCGAACTCTTCAGTATCGATGCATATCCCGTAAAAGGCCCGAGCGGGCCCAAATGTCCGTGGATATTCATCGTAGATGGAGGTATTCCAGACAAAAGTGAGAGTGGAAAGCCTTTCTTATTAGTATGTGAAGGAGCAGTAACATCCAGCGATTCGTGGTTCCATTGGCTTGCATTATGCGCAACTGATTGATTCTCCAAACGTGGGAGAAACGCAAATTCTCCTCGGTAACTTCCAGAAGAAGAACCTTGATCATAACTGCTCTTTAGAATCTCATTACCAGAACCTGAACAAGCCACCGTTACACAACCCTTCTGGTTATCATCTAGACAAGAAACTTCACTTCTCCTTGTCATGCTAGACTGAGCAATAGTGTCCCGTCCAACATAATGAGGACGGTCCAATATTTGGTTCCGAGAATTGAAATGATTTGAGAACAAATCTCCAACGTTGCTTGGCCTAATACCAACCTCATCATACCCGTAATTCACCGCTGAACAATTCACGGTACTCGGTTGTGACAAATCACTACTTCTCCAATTACTAGAGCTTTGTGGGTCTCTATGTATTGACTGAGGCATGTTCATAAAGGTTGCGGTAGAATCTTGATACAAATCGGTCTGAACCGGTACAGAAATCTGGTTCTGCAAAATACCAATCAAATCAAGGTTGTTGGTAATTCTGATGTTCTGATTCTGCTGCTGCTGCTGATGATGATGATTCCAAGTGTTGGGATAATCATTCATTTGCTCAACTCTAAACTTATCTCTTCGGATTTGTTGAACTACATGCAACTCTGGTTTTATCATATCCATCTCTTTGTAGCTTCGATATTCTGTCATAACAACAAACATGCATGAGTTCCATATAGCAAATTAATTAATTAATAAACATCTATAAATCGGAAGACGTTTGTTTGGTGATCATAGAATCTACGAATGTTTTTTTTTTTTTTTTTTTGGGAACACCCTACGAATGTTAGTTATGAGAATGATACATCACTAGATGTCTAGATGTTTAAAAGCGATTTAAGAAATGAAATTCTTAGTTCTTACCAACATGATTCATGTTACATGAACTGATGAACATAAAGATCCACGAACCCAGTTTAAATGAACATAAAGATTCATGTGATAGGGACCTTTTAGCTACATAATATATGCATTAATTTATATATAACCCTTTTAGCTACATAATATATGCATTAATTTATATATAACCAACGACAAAAAAGGAAAATAACCTTCATTAAATTTGCAAAACTACAAAAAAAAAAAAAAACAGGGAAATATATGAAATCAAAGATAGACGAAGTAAAACACCCAGAAAATAATATTTTTTAGATAAGAACAAAACCCTAAGAAACTCCAAGAACAACAAAAGAAGAAGAACAAGAAAAACAAAAAAGGTCTGAGTATATATAACTAATACTCGGATTTAGATTTGGTTATAACTTATAAATATCATAATCGTCAAGATTTCAATTTGGAATTATAAGTAGGACCATAATCAAAACAATCACTATCGATATCCATATATTATTGGCGAGGAGAAAACAAAATGAAAAAATATAAGTGGAAGTGATAAAGACAAGACAAATCTCAGAAGCCAAAAGCGAATATTACCGATCGAAAAGTGGCCGGCAAACTCGTCGGAGCTCCGGTGGAGAGTTTAGATATGTATGTAAACCGACCGTGGGAGAGAGAGAGAGAATAATGATTGCGTAAAGCTGTAAATTCTGTAAGGGTTTTTTTTCTTAACGTATTAAGGTGGGTTTTATCAGTCTTTTTATTACACGGTATTGTACTTTCTTTAAAATGAGTAATAATACTTTGTCGTTTTTTTCCAAGAATTATTATTTTCTTTTTTAAAATGATACCACATGTATATATCAACAATATCCAAAATGAAACACATTATAAAATACTGAATCAAACTACAACAAAATTATCTTTTCCGATTTATCTTTAACTAATTTTAATAAATATATATAACCAATTTCATGATGTTTTTAAAAAAAACTTATATAGAACATAAGAATTTCACATTTTCTCACACTTTAACTTTTTAATTTTAATTTTGATAAACACTTTTAACTTTTTTCATTGGACTATTTTAGAAAACTATAGAGACACATATCAAGTGTCAAACCAAATTATGTTTTTGCATTTTTAATTTGTTGCTTGTTCTAGCTGCTTATCGTAATTATTTATGCTTAGAGTAGTCCACTGAATTGTTTCGTTTGAATCAAAACGATTCAGGAAAATCATTACATAAGAGTTTTACTAGAACAAGAGTGTTATTTATTTACTCTTTTTTGTCGTAATGCTTTAAATTACACGAGTCTCTTTCTTTTCATCGGACAACTGTTAGTTTACTCATGTTTGCTACATAGTACAATATTGGCAGTCAAATTTACGGCACGGTTTCCATTAAAGATATGGACGTCATCTTATGGTAAGCTGCATCTTTTGAGGAATAAATACATTACATGTAGACTTCTCTCTCTCTCTATTTGTAATTTTTGTGTTGCGTAACATATTTTTGGTTATTAGTTAAGTGTGTTTATTTGGTCAATTCACTCAAATCAAATCAAATCCAACGCCAAACTGAAACTATTTATGTGATTGACGCTTCAGAGTTGAAACTGCCACTTTTGTCAGATTTATTATCTCACTTCCCAACTTTGCTTTTGCGAGGACAAGACCCCCGTAACTAGTGAATTTATATTCATGGGAGACTAATTTAATTTAATGCATGGGGTACAACAAGCTATAATTTTATGAAAGGTGAACAACAAAAATATCCTTCCATTTGTTTTTTAAAAAATTTAGAAACAAATAGTCTTGGCTAACTATATCAATCATGTAGTAATTAATTAGGTTGATTTGGAGTCTATTCTCTCTTTGGAAAATTAGCAAGTGTTGTCTTAAGGTTTCTGTATAAGTTTCTATTTTACTTTAGCGGGTAAATCTACTCAAAGCTAGGTGTTTCATCCACTTAACATAGATTTTATAATTTTATGATTTTCACAAGTCTTATATTGTAATGATTACATTCAAACGAGTAAGAGAATGGATTAAAACGAATTTGGAATACCCAAACTATCGATTGGATAACTAACAAAACAAAATTCCATTAGGTGTTGTCGTTTACATAAAACAACATGTAGTATTTATTCATAAATAGAAATTAGAAACAAACATACCTATTTGTCTCCAAATCACAAACTCAAAGAAGCAGAATAAATAAGTCCTGTGTGTGATCTCTTGTTTATATTTAAATTCTTTATTGTTTTCTCACCGAACAATGTCTAAATCTCCCTCTTATCGCAAGTCGCAACATATATGTTTGCCTTGTCTGGATTTTAGCTTAAAATGATTTATAGCATCATAAAACAGTACTCAAGAAACTTGTATAGATCATTTTGTCTTTTTTTTTTCTTTTCCAAATGTCCAAAAGGGCTTCTATACAAGTTCAGACAAAGGTCATGTTCTTTTGGCAGTCGCATGTTTTCTGCGACTACAGCTTCGACTGAACATTGTTTGTTTGACAGTCGCAGGGTCATGCGACTAAATGCTGCGATCAATCGCTGTAATTTGCGACTGAGTTTATTGATCGCAGAAAAAATTAGCGACATAACTTTTAAATATCGACTAGTCACACGACTGATCGAGCGATTGCTAAACGAATAACACCCTGCGATTTCAAAATCATAGTTATAATCGCAATCGCAGTCGCTTACGATTATCATGGCCAAAATGATCAATACAAGTTTCTTGAGTACTGTTTTTCATTTTGGGCCACAAACGGTGAGACAAACAGGCCCATATAAAAAATCAAAGTAGGTGAAAAAGCCTTTCTTAAAATCAACGGTTCTCTCGTTACGAAATGCAAAGAATCTTCTGGATCCTTTTTTTTCTCAGCTACTCTCTCCCATTTATCTAAACCCTAACCCCTCCTCTCACTATTCGTTTTCACTAACCACTTCCTTATCCACACCAATCCAGAACGTTCCTCGAAAAAGCTCGCTCCTTTTCTCTCAAAATGGCGTCCGCTAACGCTCTCTCTTCCGCTTCCGTCCTCTGCTCTTCCCGTCAGGTACAAAGTTTGTTCCTTTTTTATCTTCTCTAGCTACTTACTGAAGAAGAAAATGAATCATCTTTCATTACTTTGTTTTGATTGGATTTGACCCTTTACTTTGTTCTGTTTCAATGACCTTTCTCTATTTGGTTTCTGGGTTTTTGAAGAAATTGAATTTGACCCTTTACTTTGTTCTGTTTCAATTGCTTTTCTCTAATTTGGTTTCTGGGTTGGTGAGAAAATGGTTAATTTCTATGTGAAATAGAAGAAATTGGTTGAGATTGATGTAAATGAATCTGCTTTATTCATTTTTGTGGGTACATAGAGTAAGTTGGGAGGAGGAAGTCAGCAGCAAGGTCAGAGAGTAAGCTACAACAAGAGGACAAACAGACGTTTTAGCGTTAGAGCAAATGTAAAGGAAATAGCTTTTGACCAACACTCTAGAGCTGCTCTTCAAGCTGGTATTGATAAGCTTGCTGATTGTGTTGGTCTCACTCTTGGTCCTAGAGGTATTTATTATTTTTAGCTCTTTTACATTCATTATCTTCGTCTGTGTTATCGACTTATCTTTGTGTTTTCATCTGTTATTCTTAAGGGAGGAATGTTGTGTTGGATGAATTTGGAAGTCCTAAGGTGGTGAATGATGGTGTCACCATTGCTAGGGCTATTGAGTTACCTAATGCCATGGAAAATGCTGGTGCTGCGCTTATTCGTGAGGTTGGTGTTAGAGAGCATGTAGCTTTGTTATTATTGTCTCTGTGAATGAGATTTATACGGTGTGGTAATTTGGTGTTGTTATGTGGTAGGTTGCGAGTAAGACTAATGATTCGGCTGGTGATGGAACAACCACTGCGTCTATCCTTGCTCGGGAGATAATCAAACATGGATTGTTGAGTGTCACTTCTGGTGCAAATCCTGTTTCCCTCAAGAGAGGCATTGATAAGACCGTGCAAGGTCTGATCGAAGAGCTTCAGAAGAAAGCTAGGCCTGTGAAAGGTCGTGATGACATCAGAGGTACTAACCTTGCAGTGACCTTCCTTGTGATGCAGCAATGTTGATAGCTTTACTAATCAATCTGTTCTATTTTTTCCAGCTGTGGCTTCTATCTCTGCTGGAAATGATGACCTTATAGGGTCAATGATTGCTGATGCCATTGACAAAGTTGGACCTGATGGTGTTTTGTCCATTGAATCTTCGTCCTCTTTTGAGACCACGGTCGAAGTTGAAGAAGGGATGGAGGTATGAGTTTTGTGTCTTGATTCTCTTCAACTCTAATTTGATTTACCATTAATTACCAATGACTAACTTGATTATTTACCTTGAATTACAGATTGACAGAGGTTACATCTCGCCTCAGTTTGTTACAAACCCTGAGAAACTACTAGCTGAGTTTGAGAATGCTAGGGTTTTGATCACTGATCAGAAGATCACTGCAATCAAAGACATCATCCCTATTTTGGAGAAGACCACTCAGCTTCGTGCTCCATTGTTGATTATTGCAGAGGATGTTACTGGTGAAGCCTTAGCTACCCTTGTCGTGAACAAGCTCCGTGGTGTCCTCAATGTCGTTGCAGTTAAAGCTCCAGGATTTGGAGAAAGAAGAAAAGCTATGCTTCAAGATATCGCAATCTTGACAGGTATATGCAGACTTCGCGTGGGTTTAGTATTTTTACCTTCTCTCTGTTGTGGCCCAAACTTTATATCTTTTCGTATGTTCTTCAGGAGCTGAGTACCTAGCCATGGACATGAGCTTGCTGGTTGAAAACGCAACCATAGATCAATTGGGTATTGCCCGAAAAGTCACGATTAGCAAAGATTCAACTACCCTTATTGCCGATGCAGCTTCCAAGGACGAATTACAAGCTCGGATTGCTCAGCTAAAGAAAGAACTATTCGAGACTGATTCTGTGTATGACTCTGAGAAGCTCGCTGAGAGAATCGCTAAGCTATCTGGAGGTGTTGCTGTCATTAAAGTCGGAGCAGCAACTGAAACTGAGCTCGAGGACCGTAAGCTTCGTATCGAGGATGCAAAGAACGCAACATTTGCTGCTATCGAAGAAGGCATAGTTCCAGGTGGTGGTGCTGCTTTGGTGCATCTCTCCACTGTTATTCCCGCCATTAAGGAGACGTTTGAGGATGCTGATGAACGTTTGGGAGCTGATATAGTACAAAAGGTAAGATTCTCGAGTTAGAGCATTTGATTTTTCGGTTCAGTTTGTTCTGTAATCAACTGCCGACTATTTTCTTATATGGGTTTATGTTTTGGTTCAGGCATTGCTGTCACCAGCAGCACTTATTGCCCAGAACGCCGGAGTTGAAGGAGAAGTTGTTGTGGAAAAGATTATGTTCAGCGATTGGGAGCAAGGGTACAACGCGATGACTGATACGTATGAGAATCTGTTTGAAGCTGGAGTGATTGATCCCGCAAAAGTGACGAGATGTGCGCTACAGAACGCTGCTTCCGTTGCAGGAATGGTACTGACCACTCAGGCCATTGTTGTCGACAAACCGAAACCCAAGGCTCCTGCTGCTGCTGCTGCTCCTGAGGGTCTCATGGTGTAATCAAAACACATCTTCTTATCATCACAATGGCATATTTTGTCTTTTTGCACATTTATCATCCCCATTTATCTGCAATGTCTTTCTTT